AAGTTTTTTTAATAATATAAAAATAAATAAAAATTAAAAATTTTAGCTTTTATAAAGAAAATACTTTTATTAAAAAACTTTCAAAACTTTGATTTGATTTTATTTAAAAAACATTATAAATTTTATTATAAAAACATTATTGGTTTAATAACAAAATTTTTAATATATTTAAATTAATTTAAAAGTATAAGTAAAATTCCTTCTAAATATAAAAGGAAAATTATTAAAGAAATACTATATATTAATTATTTCTACTTATCTGCCTTGCTTTTAAGCTAATCTAATGATTATATGTCTTTTTAAAATCAAAATCTTCAATATCAGATCTGTTAATCAAAAAAATCAAATGTTAATTTAAATTTTTAACATATAACTATTTTATAATTTTGTCAAAAATAAATTTTGTTGAAAATTTTGTTTTCAATATTGGCCTTTGATAAAAAATAATAAGAGTTATTTCTACAAGTAATGAAATAGTTGATAATTACTATTAAAATTTTATTTTACTTTTTTCATAAAAATTTTTTAAATAATTAATTTCTTTAATTTCATATTTTATTATTTATTTTTCTATTTTTAGAAATAAATTGATATCAAAAATACTTAATGTATTATATAATTCAGATTCTAGAAACCTTCTTTTTAATACATTAATAATTGCTATAGCATAATCTTTATAAATTTCAGAATTACATGTATATTTTGTTGAATTTTCTTATGATCCATATAATTTGTAAAATAATACTACATGTTAGTTCTATATTAATATTTCAATAAAATTTTTGAATATAGAATTAATTACTACTTGTAAATGAGGATTAAGATGAGAAAAAACACATAATCTGATTAAAAAACCTATTCAAAATTATTATTAAATCTACTATAAATATTGTAGCAATTACAAAGTTTTCATCTAATAATGAAATTAAATTTTCTGCTAATTTTTCTTCTACTATCATATTTTCATTTAAAGTTGCTAAAACTGAATTTATAATTCTATAAAAATTTCTCATAGTATTTGATAATGATAACCATCTAACTTCAGTATAATTTAATACTTCTTATTGTGACTTATTATTATTATTATCCTATTATATAAATAAAAAATATTATTATTAATATTTTAAAATATATAATATAAATTATTTATTTATAAATACCTGTATAATATATAATATTTTATAGCATTTATATGATCAACTAAAATATGAATAAACTTTATTTAAAATACTTTCATATTCTTTAAAATAATTAACATTTGTTAATACATCTTTTTTTTACTAGATATAATCAATAAGAAATATAATAATTTGATAATATAAATGGATTTGATTTTTTAAGTTTCATTGATACACCTTTTTTAGAGTTCCTAATGAGTCGAGTCGAGTCAATTCAAAAAATTTTAAAACTCTAACTCGACTCAACTCGAGTTATACTTAAATTTGACTCGACTCAACTCGAGTCAAATAAAAACTCCCAAAATATATTTGCTGATTATATAAATAATAAAATAATAAAATTATATTAATGTTTCGGAGGCTATTATCTAATGATCTACCAATCAGAATTTCATGAAATCTGCACCATCGTGTTCGCCGAGATGCGCACATCAAAATTATATGTGTTGAATTTCTAATGGATCACTGAATGAGAGATATTCAAGAAAATGTGTTGAAAATTGATTTTTGGTTTCGAAGGACATTATCTCAAGATCTACCGATCAGAATATCGTGAAATCTGCACTATCGTGTTCGCCAAGATGCGCTTATCAAAATGATATGTGTTGCATTTCTAACGAATCACTAGACGCTGAGATATTTAAGAAACGTGTTAAAAATATTCAATTAATACTTCGTAACTGATATATTTTCGAATTCCAGGATTGTACCAAATTGAGTTACACAAGATTTCAAATATAGATATATGGTTATACAAAATCCTTAAAAGGAAATTTTTAGCTATCGAAAAATTGGAGAATCACCAAAATGGGTTACACAAAATTCCCAAAATAGTAATTCATATAACATCAATTCACGTGAGTCAACTCAAGTTGAGTCGAGTCAATTTATTGACTCGACTCGACTAATGACTCAACTCGAGTCAAATAAGTCAGAAAATTTTTGACTCGAGTCAACTCATTTGACTCGTGAGTCAACTCGACTCATTAGGAGCTCTACCTTTTTTACATCCTATATAAAATTAAATTTATTAATTATAAATAAAATAATTAATTAAAAATAAAAACAATATAAATTACCAATCATCATTACTGTTCCATCTGATCTATAATAGATTAATATATTAAAATTTATATTTTTCAAAATAATGAATAATTTTATTTGGTTAAAAATATAAGTCATATCTGATTCTTTTAAATTAATTATTCCTAAAAAACACATAAATGAAATATTATTGATTAAATATTTTGCAACTGTTAAGAAATATTTATTATCTCCTACAGTATTTAATTCATATATCATAATATTTTAAAATTTTGAATTATTTAATTCATTAATTACATAACAAATACTTTCTAAAAATTCATTTTCTGTATTATCAGTTGTATAGCTACTACTTTTATAATTTAATATTTTAAGAATATATGAATTATTTAAAACTATATATTCTTTATATTCTTTGTTATTTTTTATTTGATATAATACTAATTTACTTAAATCTGAAAAAATATTAATAGCTTGATGTTTTTTAGATAAAAATAAATATTTTACATAAGTAATATAATGTTAAATTTGTTAATTTCTAGTTATTTAGTAAAATTGGTGATAGTCTTGTTTATTATAGTTTAGATAAATCTTCAGAATCTTTATATTCATTTATTTTAACTTGATTTTTAATGTTTTCTAATCAATAACTTGTTACTTTTATTACAAAAACCAATTTTTCATTTCTTTGCTTAAATAATGAACAAAATAAAATAATTTTTATCATTTATCATTCTTTGGTTTAATTATAGATAAATTTTAAATCTGTTTTTTATGATTATATAATCATTTAGTAATATTTATTTACTATCATTATCATTATCTGAATGATTATTTAATTTATTAAAAAAATTAGAAATTTTTTCTGAATTATCTTTCTATTCTTGACTTATTATTCCTTTTTTGACTTAATATATTGGAAGAAAAAAATCATTTTAAATTGTTTTTCAAAATTAGCATTTTGTAAAAAAAATTAACTTTAAATATTTTAATAAAATTATAATTATATAAGAGGCTATACGAGAATCTATAATTACAGTGAGATCTCTTTAATACATTTTTCTTAAATGTATACATTAAATATTTTCTATACTTCATAAAGTCTAAGTATATAAAGATTATATAAAATTATCTCTTTAAATACACATTCTTTTTAAATGCATGTTTTTTTAAATTTCATTATGATCTTAAGGGATTGATACATTTAGAGAGGTTCATTTTATTTTATAAATAATTTATGTTTCATAGATTTGAATCAGTTTTAACTAAGAAAAGTTTAATTTATGGTGGTATGCTATTAATATTGAGGTACGGATCATATGATTTATTATGTCTCGTACCTCAATTTTTAATAGCATACCACCCATATATGAATTTATATAAGAATTTTACTATTTATATTCAATTATTAACCAAAAAAAAAAACGAAGCACGTGACTTTGCCGATTAAAAAAAAGATAACATACTTAGTATGTCTAGAAATAAATATAGATATCGCGCCTTTATAAGATGATGACTTAAGTTTCACAAAAAATAGTCACTTTTAATATAAATAATAAAATAGCAACATTTGATGTTATAAATAACTAAAGATATGCATATACTATATATACATTATGGCAAATTTGCTAACCAAATATGTAGTCTATATGTTTAAACTGTTTTTCGTCTAGTTTTTCTGTAAATAATTCTTTGAGCAATCTTTGCCAGGAATAGCAGTCAAATGACTAAACCTTTGAATTAGAATCTTCATAAACGAAACTTGTATGCAGCTTCGAATAATCCTTAAGCAACAATGATCACACCAGCAATTCATAACCCATTACTGCTTTAAAATCGATTACATAAAACGTTTCGACGGCTCAACAATTCTGCCCGATTTTCATGAAAGAGATTGTTTTGTACATCAATCACATCCACGAATTCATTTTTATCTAGTTGAGTTGCACATGCCTCCGCGAAACATCTGGAATAATCATTCTTCCCGAAAATTTACCATGGTTTTAGAGAATTGAATTTCAAAAGGTAGCTTCATCATCAGGAAGTTCAGAAAACTTACATCAAATTATAATAATAAAAAGGTTTGTATTGCTAGCAATTATCATGACATTTCTGAATATGCTTCTTATGGATTTGCGATTGTTCAAAGATAAATTGAACATGCTTGCGCTCATCTATCTCATTAAATATATATTCTTATAATTTATTACTTTCGAGATGAAATAATCATACTCGTAAAAACATACTGCTGAAATTGCAAAAGATGTCGAATCAACCAATGTACTCATTGATGGAAATACAATTGCAATTATTTAATATGATGATTTCAAGTCCAATTTTTCGTGAATCGCAGTAAAGTCTTAATCACATGAATATTGTATAAATAAACGATATACCATAAAGCATTTGGTTAGCATCAGTCACGCCACATGAATTCAAAAACATGAACGATTTTAGGCAAATGACATAATTATTACGAATTTCATGTGCTTTATTTAGGATTCAAAACTTTTTTTTGATATTTCACAAAAAAAAAATAATAATAATTATAACGATAATGACTGTTGAAAAATTAACTCGTATTGGCATTGGGATGTATCGTATGTGTCTTGGAAATAAATTCAATGAAGATGCATTGCTTAAAGCTTTAAGTAGGGAAACCGATGGTTCCGATATCAATGTGATCGATACTTCGACAAATTATTGTGATGGAGATAGTGAAAAGTTGATTGGAAAATTTTTATCGAATACTGAAAGAAAACTTTTATCCCGTTCTGAAATATTTCTTGCAACTAAATATGGTTATATCCAAGGAAATAACATGAATTTGTACCATAATGGAGCGTTTAAAGTATGGTGCTACGACTTTTTTTTTTTTTTTTTTAAATAAAAAAGACTAAGTAATAATAAATTGATCAATTTTACGAGTATAGAAAGTTCCAGATGAACATATCGTACACTATACACCCAATTGCTTTCATTGCATTCATCCAGAATTTATGAAGTATGATATTCTTTATTTTTTAAATTAATTCAAAATGATTAAACTGTTTAAAATTTTAATTTGTAGAGATCAATTGAACCGAAGTTTGCATCGTATGCAAACGGAATATGTTGATATTTTGTTCATTCATAATCCAGAATATTTTCTTATGAATAAAATCAAATCTTCCAATGAAAATGTGAAAGGTTTGTTTAGAACCAAAAAGTTTATGTGCGAAATAGTAATGTATCTTTGTTAATATTATTAATTCATTATAATAGAATATCAAAAGCAAATGTTGGATAGGATTAGTCAATCGTTCGAAGCAATGGAAGAAGCAATTGACAAAGGTCAAATTCGTTCCTATGGTATTAGCTCCAATAGTTTTTCCGTACCTGAAGAAGACAAACATTTTTTGCCTTTTTATGATTTGATCGATCGTGCAAAAGAAGCTTCGAAGCGCGTAAGAGGAACCGAAAAACATGGGTTTTCTGCGGTGCAGATGCCCGCTAATTTATTAGAAAGACATGGATTAAAGACCACCGCGATTTGGGCAAAAAAGAACGGATTAAATGTAATGGAAATAATTTTATTTTCTAGGATTGATTGTTTTATAATGCACCGATTTATTTTTTTATTATCGACTTTTTAGGTGCTTGTTAACAGGCCTCTTAATGCTTTCAACGAAGACGGTGCCTTTCGTTTGGCGAGTTATCCTAAAACAAATTATGAACACGTGAAAAATTCTACATTTGAAAAGTTGGGGCAAAATTACGGCGGAATTCTAGATCTGATTAAACAGATGGATAATCTACTTCCCAAGATTAAAAATGTATTTCAATGGGAAAATTATCGTATTTCAGGTACTAATTACCTTTTTATATAAGGTATCGTTTTGTAATAAATTGATTGATAATCAAATCTTTTAATCTTTCATTTGTTCGAAGTCTATTCTTCACTTGGACAGTTTCGAGGAAATCCTGATGTTAATTCGATCTTGCAGCCATTCTTGGATACATTTGATTCAGAAGTAAGATATCGTGGATCACAAGCCGTTAGAAAATATTTAATTGAAAAATATAATATAGATGAGAATGAAAGTATCGAAAAAATTGCCTTGGAATATTTATTTAATAGTGGGGTCGTTGATGTGGTTTTAATGGGAATGACTCGCGAAGAGTATGTTGAATTTGCAAAGGAAATGCTTCGTAGATTTAAACATTAGTTGCGGTTGTCATCTATATTTAATATGGTTACTACCTTGATCGAATGCTTTTTGAATGTTTTTCTTTGGCCGTTCCGTTGTACTGTGCCACGATATATACTGCGGGAACCGTACTTTTATAATTCTAATAAATTATTCGTTCAAAACTTTAACCGGGAAATTTGGCAATGTCATCCGAACTTGATTATAAAAAATTATAATTAGTTTTCGAAAAATCAAATTTAAGTTTTTTTCCCGCAATGTGGCGCAGCTTACCATTTTTATTCTGACAACAAATTTCTTAAAATCCTTATTAGTAAATATAGATTTAACTTTCATGTCATGTTTACGCGAAAAAATTACGCGAACTTATCGTGTTTTGAGAGAAACGCGATTGAGAGCCAAGGTACAGTAAATGGTGTGAAATTCATCTCTGCGATTTCGATTATTTCGATTATAAAAGGTAAAGTTGATAAGGTAAACGAAGGCAAAACGTACCGTACCTTAAACATTCTCTTGTAAATAATTTAATCCATAGAATATAAAACATTATGAATCATGAAGGAATATAATTGCATTGTAATTCTAATAAAAGGAATACGAATATTATAAAATTTTTTTCTATCAGCTTATGTTGTTGAATGTCGTTTGACCAGATTTATCTTGGAATGTTGAAAATAAAAAATAAAAATCATCAAGTGAATTTATACCATCTCATAAGATGGAATCTTTTTTAAAGAATTATATAGATACAGTATAAACATTGTTCTGTTGGGTTAAACGAAATAAGATTAATTTGATAAAGTTTTCGAAAAAAAAAAAGAAAAATATATTTATATATCGTGCTTGTTAATTACCGTATTGCTATCAAAGCCAGGCAAATTTATTTTTCCTTTGACATTTTTCGCAAATCCCAAGAATAAAGAATTAACGCGTCTCTTTTAGAATTGAACATTAAACGTTAAAATCATGAATGTCTAATTCGTTAAATTTTCGTGGATTAATGTAAAGCTGTTGTTTATAAAAGTGATGAAAATTCTATCCCAATCTACAAATTTTCTTGCAATCTAGATTCCTTATAATTAACGTTCTTTCTTTGATAATCTTTGATAAACCAACGATATTTCCATCATGTCCATTGTGTCACCCCAAATTCTTATTAATTAAAAGTCCATAAATTTCAAATGTAAAGTTTCAAGGATACTATATATCATTATATTTTTACCTAATGTTAAGCAATTTAAAGTGTGTACTTGTCGAACCAAATTCTTTGCATACGGCATGTCCGGCATGTCCAATAGTTTTTTTTTCCCCACAAGCTGATGGTTCTTGTTCATTTCTATATTAAATTAATGTGCTTTCGTATTGAATAATTCACTCTTAATAATATAATGTAGCGATAAAATTTTGCATTTTAATCTCATTATGACCGACAAAGTTGACGCTCCAATGGCGGTAAGAAAAAAAAAAAAAAAAAAAAAAAAAAAAAAGAGAGAGAGAAAAAAAAGGACGAGGATGAATGACAGGAACAGGTGTCGCTTTTATATTTTAAATTGTAATTATTGGTGCAACAATAAGTTTTTCAATACAAGATATATCAATGAAACCTTTTCATTTTCGATGAATCTTTTTTTGGTCTCGTCTTTTTGAAGAGTTGAAAAAGTTAAGGCGCAGCAGAGATCTCGATTATTTTGCGCAGTATACCAAATCGCGAATTTTTTTTTTTACGAATTATAAATTGGAATCGTGTCGCAGCTGCTATTTGGTAACTGATTTTAAAATAACATGTATAAATATATCTCGTACATTATATATTTAAATATAATGCAAATCATATGAATATACAAATGATCGCGTCAGGGAAAAAAAAGAAAATTTATTCTAAATAGAAAGGTATAGAAAATTTATCATTCAAAAAGTTCAACATACACAAATGACTTGTTTAGAAATATGAAACACTTTAAAAAAAATAAACACCAATTGAGAAGCTTTAATTTTGCGTAATATCCGATACGAATCTATTGAACAAGGTTGTATTAAATATTTATCAACAGCTATTACATTTGGGCAAGAACAATAAAAACAATGGGGCGCCCCGTTGCGCGTACCACGGTTATACTTCTTCTTAATTAGTTCGTGAATAACATGAAATTGGGACTTCTATAAGGCTAAAACAAGTAAAGCACAGAGACATAATTGTGTAATTTGTTTTTTTTTCTCGTGATACTTGAAAGTATAATATTTGTTTACGATTATATAAATTTTTTTTTTTTAATATTGTTATAATTTTTTTTATTGATTTACGATTCCATTCTATAATTACAAATCAAGGGCTTGTGTACTTTCTTTGTCTTGCAACTCTTTTTATCACTAACAAATTTTCAAAAAAAAAAAAAAAAAAATCCAATATCCATTTGGCTTGCTACTAAAATACGCCGACTAATAGTTTTTAGCATGTTAATTTAATCTAGTTTATTTAAATATAATATTTTGAGTTCAGTGTAAAAAAAAGATTTTCTTAGACCATTTGATTTAAATTCTAAAAAAAAATATTATTCAACCCCTTACAATTCCCACGCGAAAGATTCCTTGTTTACTTTTTCGGGGTTATAGTTATTTAATTGGTATTTTGAAAATTTGAAGTAGTACTTTCTAACTCAAAAAAACATTTTGGTTACATTATCTTGTGACAAAATCATCCATCTTCAATTTCTTTATTGCAACAAGTAAAACAGATATAATGTTCGGTATCAACTATTGTTCTGGTGATATTATGAATTATAAAGTTTAACGATCATCTCTCAAGTTTACCGCGTTAAACCACAAAAATAGAAAAATTCTGTAGCACTCACTGTAAAGATGTAAAAGATATGTGATGATTTATACGCCGAAGACCTTTTTTTTAATATATGTGTGTGTGTATATAATGTAAAAGGTTTATAATTAACTATAGAATACATCTATATAAACTTTTAAAATCATGTACTTAAAAATAAATCAATTATAAGTGATGAAGTTATGATTCGTTCAATTAATTAAGAACTTGGAACATGCAAAAGAAGCATCGGTCTTATCTTGGTTAATTATTACTTTAAAAAAAACTGTATATTTTAATTTATTATAATATATATTTATATATATATATATATAAAAAGAGTAAATTAGAAACCGGTCATATTTAAAACAGTTATACAACGGAACAAATTTACGATAATAAAAAAGATAAGCATTTGAAATCTTTTTGTTTTATTATTAATAATAATTATTATTTGTGATTTCTAATATTATGTGATCACACCATAAATCAACAGTCCAATTTTTTTATATAGTTTATTCTAATTTTGTCCTACATTTGTCCATTGTTAAAAAATAACAATGGAAACAATTTTTTTGTTTTCATCACATCAAGAAATTTTTTTTTTTTTTTATACTAATGCAAATCTAGGTAAGTTTTAGTTAATGATGTAACGAGGTTGATGGTTGGTTTGGTGTGGCGTTAATTAATTGATCATCAAAATTCCCTGATCAGGATTCAATGTGATTGAACTTTGTGTTCATCTTGTGTCGCGTGTGTGATGTATAAATATTTTTTGTTTGTTAACATATTTGAATGAAGGGTATAACCATATTACATTGATAACGTTTCAACTTTTTACATCCCCGTTTCGGATAAATTATTAAAAGATTCGGCATATATCTTTTAGGTTCTATTGTTTTATCATCAAAATCTTGATTGCCACAATAAAAATTTACATCATTTTTTTATTCTATTTTATTTTTATCCAAAACTAATTCTGACAAATAAATTAAAGTTGCCTAACCATCACGTCCAAAGGCCCAAATTCGTCACCGAGAGGTATCACCGGAAAATACGTTACGGATTTCATCGATAATGAATCAACTAAAAGGTCACATCGGTTCGTTGGCTGATGGCCTGGCTATTAAATTTATCCACATTTTCATCATCTCGTTTTGAGGAGTAAACTTTAGTTTGTAACACATAATATTTAAAAATATATTTTTTTTTGTTAACCTAATTAATAAAGATATCTTACGTTATTTTTCGCGACTTTTGATTGAAGGACCTAATTCAACGGGGTGCACATATTTGTCAATGTAAATTCTAAAACCAATTAGAACTTGTTACGTTCCTTTTTTAAAACGGTCAGGATTTACAAAGGGACTCAACGGGTCTCCACTCAACCCTACAATCCTACAATTGATAAATAAATGAAAAAAAAGATTATTAATAGGTTTATAATAAAATATAATGAAATGCTATTTCGGTATTTTATATTAGGTTATAATATTTATAAAGGTTGCATGTTACTTTAAATTCAAATCATTCCCTATCGATGAGATCACATCACCGCTACTGTTTTACGGTTTTTCACCTGCACGTGTGTATATAATTGAAAAAAAGGGCGATAGGAAACAAGATTTGAAACAGGTTTTTTTATTTTATTTTTTTTTTTGTTTATTTATTTATTTATTATTATTATAATTTTTTTTTTTTGGTTTAAATTATAAGGAAAAAAATTATTTTCACGCTTAAAATAAATTTATTTATATAAAATACTATAAAAAATACAAATAAATATAAAATATGTAGAGTTACAACAACATTTGAAAAATACTCTCCCCCCCCCCTGTATCTTTCCTGAAATGCTGTGTTACAACTCTTGTCTTTGTTTTAACGACCGACTTTGTTGGTATTTGAGTCAATCATTATTATTTCATGTTAAAATATTTTAACTTCCATTGTTATTTCAAAGTGATTTTCACTGCGCCATGCGTAACGAGCAATTGTTCATTATTCTTTTACTATAATCATTATTTTGGAAATATTTGTTGAATGATTATAAAAAGGGGTAGGTTCTCAACAGAAGAACAAAATATCATCTTTCCTCAAAAAAAAATAAAAAATAAAAAATTTCTCTCAGCATTAAAAAAAAGGCACAAAAAAAAATAACAATAAACAGGGCAGCAGACCTTCATAAACCGGCAAATTAAAAAATATTTTAAAACCTCAACTAGGAAAATCTGCTAATACTACCTGAAATTTTTGTGAAGAAAATCCCACACCTTAAGAATAAACAAAAACTCAACCACCTTTTTTATAAATGATGCTTGATTTCGTACATTACCAAGATGGGGCTACCAGCATTCCTGAGGATATCGATGTTCAACTTCCTTTACGACTTTTTGACGACGACCTACTGGCGAAGCCTCGCCGTGGTAGAATACCGACTAGACCCCCCAATAATTTCCTAATTTTTAGGACAGCATATACGAGGGTTCTGCAATCTCGGGGCTTCTGGGACTTAAGAATGAGAGAGGTCACCCGGAGGGCGGCGAAAGCATGGTCTGACGCATCAGCGGATGTTAAAGCCGAATGTAGGAGGTTGGCTTCTCATGCTAAAAAAAGGCATGAGGAGGTATACGGACCGCCCCCAAAGAGGACTCGTAAAAGACGACCAAATAATGCTAGGATTGAAGATGATACGGAGCAAATACCAATTCCCGATGCAATAGTGTACCCTACACCACAACCGACATCTTTTTATTTTGAAGATATCATAGCGCCACCTTACAACTGGCAGCCGGAAATGTATGGAATGTTCTCTCCTTCTACTACCGAGAGTGAAGATTCTTCAAATAACCAACAATATAATACGATTTATTCATCGTTGTAATCGTTTCTCAAAATTCCCAAAGTGAATGACCGACTTGGCATGCATGGCAAATGGCAAATTTTCGTTTTAGGCATTTATTTATTTTATTCATTTTTTTCGACTTCATTAAAAAAAAAACCAAATTGCAAACACACAAAACACAAACAAAATTTTCATTATGTTCACATTGTTTAATCGTAAAAACCTATGTAAAAAAAAAAAACTTTCAATTTTTGTAAGATTTCAAAATTAAGCCACAACTTATGCCGATTTAAATCTCATTCTTTTTTTTAAAAGAAAATAATTATCGACTTTATAACATTTTCACATTTTCTCGTTTTTTTTTTATTTATTTTTTTTTTATTCATTCATTTATATGGGTGGATAGGTTATTATTTATTTAATCGTGTAGATTTTTTTCTTTACAAAAATTTATGTAAATAATTTTAAAATTTCAAATAAATTTAAGAAATTAGTTATTGGAAAAGAAAAAAAAAATTTGTATAATACGCAGTAAAATAAAAATTTTATTCACGTGAAAAAAAGTTCAAAATTCCAGTCTGTTTTTATACTTGATCGCTTATTTTTTTTCATAAATTATAAACTCGCGTGGGAAAGAAGGTTCGAGAATAATAAATATTTTCTAAGCTTGAAATTGTCATTGTACTCGGAAATTTTCTAACGTTCGGTTTAACGTCGTAAAATAAATTATAAAAAAAAAAAAAAATGTTTAAATTGTCATTCATATTTTCTAAAAAAAAAAAAAAAAAATTGAAAATTTCGTAGTTAAATTCTCAAAGATTTTGTTATTCATCTCGTGTTTTGCAGATTGCAGCGAGAATCCTTACATTAAAATTTTTTTATTTAAGTTTCGGGAGACAATCAAGTTGAGAACAATAAGAACAATACAAGCATCCGAATATTCTCAAATCATTTTTAGAATGAACAATGTTTTAAAGTATGCTGTGAAATGTTGTGATTGTGAATTCTTTCATTAACAATTATATTTCAATCTTCATTTTATTCGTACACGGATAATGAATGAAATTAATCTTTGTTCAATAAAAATCCAATGAAAATATCAATGAAACCAATTTGAAAAAAAAAAAGATTTCTAAATATATTCTTATTCAATTTAAAGGTTTGGCGCCAAGATCGTAGCACCATTGTTTGGGCACCTATCAGTAAATTTGTACGACAATTTGGGTCATACCATTATTCAAATTCCCTTATCTTGATACGAAATACTTGATCTCATACTATTCGGAAGTGGTGTAACATTGAGAATGGTTACTCCACACGAAACAGGGGGAAGAAGTTGGCGGGATTCTTTAGAAGTTCTCCCGCGCAAAAATTTGATGAGATTGACATACATTCGATAGGTAAGTATTACGATATGTTTGTTTTATATTTGAGACTTTTCAGACGATCAGATTTTAAAGTATATTTCTTTTTTAGATGCTGTTTTCTAAACCCCGCCTTATTTTTGACCGGTATTTTATTTTTTTTATTGTAATTTATTAGTCCAACTTTGGAAATTATATTTTCTCATGTTGCTATTGTTTCCGAGGCAAAGGATTTTTACAATGTTGGAAATTCTAGTGTCCGAGATTTTTCGAAAGAAGAGAACAAAAAAAATAGTCATGTCAACGCACCCCATGAATTAGTCACAACTTGTGTTTTATCAGATATTACTAATGAACTTTAAATGGAATTTCTCAATGTGAAGGCGAAATACTCTTCATTAATTAATGCGCTTCATTTAATTTCTCCTATTACGTACAAATAAGCGAAGTTCATTGATTAGACTTCATTAGAACAATGATTGTAGAGCTAATAAAAAAATCACATTGTTCATATTATAATGAATGAGCATGTTTTGGCAATGTGCGGGTCCTCCAATTTTAGCTTTACAAACAAACTCGGAGGATTCCCTTACAATGACATGATGCAAATGTGGCAAAAATGATTTAAGCTTATTGTTTATAGCTTACAATTTCGGAATAAACTTTTCCTCAAATATTTCCAATTTTGGGATCATTGTTATCTTTCTAAAAAAAAAAAAAAAAAAAGGAATGTGAAAAAAAATAAATCGAATGATGCAGGGGAATTAAAATGTTACCAAATTAGTGTCTATTGTCTCCTTAGTCAATCGTCCGGAAACAATGCCACTTGTTTTTTTTTTCCTTTTTCTTATTCCTCGAGGGCGTTCAAACGGAAGCACGAAATAGCTCGGCTCTAATCATCTGCACGTCATTGAAATGCGAGTGTGGCAAATAAGGTTACATATATCAATTTTTTTAAAAAGTTTATTTTAAAAATTTAGTGATTATTATCATTATCATCAACATCATCATCATCACTGTCATTGTTATTGTCATTCCCTTGCACAACAATACTAAATTTAAAAGCTATAGGTATATATTTAGGATCATTCATTTTTTATAAAGATTATTTTGGTTAAAAAAAATTTTAAAATGCAAAACTTAAATTTAACCACGATAATCTCGCCACTATGTTTACATGTTTACGTCGGTTTCAATAAGAATTAATCTGGGAAAATTAAAAAAAAAAAGGCAATACTTCAGAAAAATTTTTTTGCTAGAAAAAAAAAAGGTGATAATAGTTGATGTAACGTTGGTAGCAACTTCTTAATTCCGGTCATGTAATTTTGCCCGGAATAATGTAATCTTTCACGTGATATTTTTACAAAAATCGAGTATAATTAAACAATATTTTTAATTTCAATAATAATAATTTTATATTATAAACCTTTATAAATATATTTGAATAAGATATTTATTAGTTGCCAAAATAAATATTTAAAATATATTTAAAAATAATTATATCTTTTTAATATAAAATCTAATATCTTAAATAATTATTTTAAAAATTAAATTAATATAATATCTATTTATATCCTCTATTAAACTTATTTAAAATTTATATATAAAATTTATTTAATAAATAAATATAATTTTATTATTATTATCTTTATTAATTTTCAAATTTTCTTTTATAATTTATATATTTCTTAATAAAATTTTATAATTAGTATTAAGATTATTATTAAAATTAATTTTAAATATTTATATATTATGATTATAATTTTTTTATTTTGAAAATATAAAATAAGATTTTTTTAGAAATCTTTATTATAAATATAGATTATTAATTAATTTTATTATTTAAAATATAATTATATAGATTTCTAATTATATAAAATGTATAAATATTAGTTATATTAATAAATATATAAAAATATAATTTAAATTTAGAAAATCTAAAAATTTAAATTAAATTAATTAGTAATTAAATTAGATAAATTAGTTAAAATAATATTTTTTTTATTATATTTACATTTTTATATTTTATTTTTATTTAAAAATAAAAATTTTTTATAATAAAATTATTAAAATAAAGGTTAATTCAAAAAAAAATTTATTTAATATAATATTTATATCTTTTAAAATTTTTTTTTATTAAATAAATTTTATAATATAATATTATATATAATATATTTATATATAATTATATATACTTTTAAATTAGATTATAGAAAATAATTATTATTTTTAACAATAAAAATTCTAATAATAAAAAGTTAATAAATAGTATAATAAGTATAATAATATATATTTATTAAAAAAAATTTTATAAATATATAATTAAATAAATTTATATTTATTAAAATTTTAAAAATTAATAAAATAAAATAAATTAAATATTATCATTATATAATTACTTTATTTAATAAAATATTTATACTATAAATTTTATATAATAAATATAAAATTAATATAAAATTTTTAATTATTTTTATTAATAATTAAAAATTAAAAAATTTATATAAAAATATTTATTTTTAATAATAATATTTTTAATTAATTAATATAAATTTTATATATAAATTTAATAATAAAATTATTTAAAGAAATAAAATTATATTATATATATAAAATATAATAAAAGTTTATATAATTTTATTTAAAAATTAAAAATAAATATTTTAATAAATTTTAATATATTTTATATATTGTAATATTAATTTATAATTAGCTTTAATATTATAAAAATTATAATAATTATTTATAAAGTTAATAATTAAATATTATAATTATATAAATTATAATTTTTATAAAATTTTATATTTATAATTAATTGTAATATAAGTAGTTGAAATTTAAATTTAACTAGTTAAAATTAAAGATAATAATATTTTTACTTATTTATAAAAAGAATTAAAGTAAAAAAAAATAATTTATTTTTGTTTTTTCTTTAAATATAAAATTATAATAAAGTATAAATAATTATAAATAAAATAAGATTTACAATATTTTAATAAATAATATTTATTATTATCATATAAATTTTAAAAATTAAATTTTAATTTATAATAAATTTTTATAAATTTATTATAAAAAAAATTAATATATTTTTGATAATTTATTTTTATAATTTAGTTTAAATATATATATATAATAAATATAAATTCTATAAAAAATTTTTAGTTTTTAATAAAATTTCTAATTTTAATTAAAAGAAATTTTTTTTTTAATCACATAATTTATAATATAAAAAGGGTTGTTTGAAAAATATGATTTTGAGAATTTTTTTATTAAAATTTAATTTTTATTGTATTTTAATTTAATACTTTTAATACTATCAAAAATTAAAATACAATAAAAATAAAATTTCTCAAAATCCTATTTTTCTAGCAAATCCTTCTATATAATAATATAGGATTTTTGCAATAAAAAATTATCAGAAAAATAAAAGATAAGTTAATATTAAATTTAAATATTTTAGCCTAAAAATTATATTTGATATATAAAAGTAAAATTGATTTTTTTCTGACAATAATCCTATATAATATTGGCTTTATTAGCTTTATTAATCTTTATTGTATCAATAAAAGATAAAAATATAATATTATTTACAAATAATCATAAATTAATTATTATTTACTAAAAGTAAACCATAAAAAAAATTATTGCTTTATAAAATGATTTAAATAAATT